AGCCTCCCGGGTCCACCGGCTACTGGTTCGATCCAGCTTCCAGGCCAAGCCAGCTAGCAATTAGAATATCATGCTTATGCAGCTCAGAAGACACTCTGACCCCGTGAAGAAAGCAGGACATGTTATGGACTGCATATGCGAATGCTTCGCGATGGCTATTGTGAATGGAAGACCCGCCGGCGCAACAAAGCTGCCCTGCAGGGCATCGCGCGCCCTTGGAGGGTGTACCTACTTTGGTTAGGGCTCCAAAAAGATCCTGTTCATGATATTGGCAGAACAAAACAGCTTCCTTGGATGAGAAGCTTTTCTAGCCCCAAGTAGCCCAGGCCTATAGCAACCATGATGATGGCACTAACAGGCAAAACCAATTTTCACAGATTGTGCTGGTGTGTTGGGCGTTTCCTTATAGACCATACAGACCTCAGAATACCTTGGCCCCTTTAATGACCTCGACAACAAGGCACCCCCATTGTTTTTGAAGCCATGTATCCCTTAGACCCTAAGCCCAACATACACCAAAATAGGCTTGAACTGTTGGAAGCCCTGATCGGGTGCGGCAGGCCAGACACAGAGCCCCCTCAGTCAGATGTCCATTGGTCGCAACAGGGCTTCGCAGGCTTTGGTGGCACGTTTGCTCTGGCTGGTTTTGATGGGTTATAGGAAGTCGGCCGAGGAACGGGTCGGATGACTAGTTACTTTACGTAGTTGAAGAATGATATGGGGGTTTCCCTAAATAGGGGTACCCCAATACGCCAATACTGTAGTCATTTTTATAGGGACCTCCCAAAAAGTACCCCGATTTTGGGAACCCCCCATATCATAACCCATTTGCAAGGACAGAATCGCGTAGATCTGGGCTCACCTGTTCTAATCCGCTTTGAATCTTTGACTGCAGCCATGCGCATGACTGTTTCTGTATATGTCACTTCATCTGAGTGGGCAGGTGCATTGTGCCATACTTGACCTGGAATGGTGTGGGTTCACTGCATGCTGCACTTTGGCCGGCTCGCAAGCACTTCTTTATGACAGCAGAGCCTATTCTTGTGCATGCAAGCATTTTGTAATGTTGTAACTGCTCAACGCACAGTACAAGTAGAACAGGGCTTCGTACCTGCAACATGTCTACCGTACAAATGTGAGGCTCTCACCAGCAAAAAAAAGCGCAGTTTCTAAAAGCAAGCATCCTTCATTGCTAACATACCCTGACGGGTGTCCTCAGCACAGACGTACACAGCGAAACCTTGAAGGCAGTGCTAGCTGTGGTATCCTGTGCCAAGAACACAGCCATGGGTGAGCACGGTTCATGACGGGGCAAAGTCTCACAAAGCCGAATGGGGAGGATGGCGCCGAGGCTGGAAGCTCCATAGTTTCACAGCAACACTGAGTGTGCCAAACTTATGTGGTGCATCGCACACTGTAGATTCTTGAAAGCTTTCCAAAGTTACGCAGAAGCCGCTCAATGTGGTGCGGAAGATATTCTCGTGTATGCTGAGCCCAGGTCTAGGCAAGGCTGTGTCCTGCAGGCTGAAGATTTCCTCTGCCAAGCGGACTTCAGCTGCGAGCCGGAAGGGCTTCCAGTGGCCAGCTTAGGAAACTGACGGGCTGGACAGAAGCGAAGATATGTCTCATCATGCTTTCTTCATACTAATAGATATTTAAAATAAATCACCATGGGGGTAGGTGTGGGAAGCTTTGCTACCGCGTCGCACAAGGACGTGTTGACAAGAAGACCTTTCCGTAAAGGGGATGGCTAGAGGAAGATTTTTGATGCATTCAGCAATGCAGATGGGATACGAAGAGCCACTGAATCCTTGCCACTCCGAAGCGAGACATGTGTACACATATTATACATGTGTATATATATATACATACACGCATGTGCTTGGCGCGCTTACATGCACCTCTGTGGAAGTTTGGTAGTTGGCCGAACCGCCGACAGACTGCTGCTCAGGTGAGCCCATCCAAGACGATGCCGATCCATCCCGGCAAGGAAAAGACAAAGGCTCGGACGAGGGAGGGAGCTTGCTGCTGGCGCCACTAACCACCCACACCCACCTGCCGTGAGGCCTTCGGGTCCGAGCTGCAGCAGAAAGAGGAGGAGCAGAAGGAGGAGGAGGAGGAGAAGTCTGAGGAGAGCCTTGGACTCAACAGCTACAAGCTACCAGAGTGTCTCTGGAGCGCCGCAAAGAGGTTGTAAGAAAAAAGGTTTTGTGACATGGGTCTCAGCCTTAGTCTAACCAGTCTAACCTGGCATATAGTCATGCCCATCTGACACAGTGAAGGGTTCAGGCCACAGCCCATGGGCTCCTGCTGCTCAGGCTCAGGCCCCCGTGCTTGGCTGTTCTTTAAAGAAATCTTGCATAACACGCCCCAAAGCCGTCGATGTTACCCAGCAGAAGGGTCAGCTCGCGATCCTGACAAGATGCGCTTACCCAGTTGGAGGGGACTGTTGGAACACTCAGGAAGCGCTTTGGCAGCTTGCCCTCTCAGCTTTTCGAAGCATGGCGTCTCATCATCCGACCACCCCGCCGGAGGCTGGAACGATCAAGAACGATGTTACATTCGCCTGAACTGCAAACGCTGAAATCGCTCATTGAGAAGATGATCCTGCCATCGCAGGGATGCTTTGTGCTTGGGTGGAGGGAGCTGGAATGTCAAGGGGTCGGACAGGGGACATGTCTTAAGGCTTTGGAGACCCCATGTACAGCTACATCACCTTTGGCCTCTGGCATGCCCAGAACGGTTCATACCCGACGCATGGACTGTAGGCATGTATTTGATGTGGGGACTTGGGGATTTTTGAGATTTAGGGGATGGGGTCCGCTACGGTAGGCTGCTGGATCATTGGGCATCGTGGACACACTGGAATATGTTTAGGCCTCTACTTCGAGCGACGGATCGTCAGTGCGGCCAGCGTCGGCAAGCCTAGATGAAGCTCCAACTTGCCACCTTGTGCGCGAGGTACCCGACAAAGTGCTTGGGACCAACATCCTTGCAGGTGCTGTGATTGCTATGCACAATGCGACAGTTGATCAGTTTTAGCGGTTCAGAGTCCTGGCATGTCTGTGGCACTGTTTGGCCTCAGGTGCTGTCTGCTAGAGTGCTGAGTGCTTCTGCTGATGTGACAGAATGCCCTGACCTGCTTAGTGCAGGATGCTGGAGGGTTCCGGAAATCTCCAAAGCCCAGAAGCATACCCCAGCTGTGAATCTTCTGTAGGCTCCCAGCTCGCTCAAAAAGCCTCGGGGCTCTAGAATGGCTGAGCAGGTCATCCTACCTCAGTACAGCGAGTCCCGACGCCTGAGCCAGCCGTTGGAGAGACACGACTTAGCACCTTTGCTTGGATTGAACACTGCATGGAGGTTTTTACTCAATGTTGGTTCTTGGCCGAAGGTTATGGATCCATTTGTGGACCATTTGATGGCGATTTGTTGGGCAGTAGGATCAAGGGTCATCACGGGATACCCCCATGAGGTGTAAACACTTTTGAGGAAGGGGTCACGCAAACCCTAAACCCCTGAACCACAAAACTCCGAGCTGCTGAATCCCTGCAGTACCATGAGCCCCTAAACACTACATCACTGAGGTTACTACCATGCCTGCAGTGCCTTGCGCATTTGAAAATCCCCTAAGAGCCTTGAATTGCAGAGCCAAGGAGTTGCTGAACAAGCAGGGGCAGAAGCTTCAATGCTCCTTGGATCCTTGAGGGTGGCAAATGACTTCAGTCATCTTCGATGCGAGGGACAGGAGGTGACGAATTCGGATCCAGGAAGACTTGAGCATAGGAGAGAGCTCAAGAAAGCCAGCCTAAATCCATTGAAACAAGCACTGCCAATAATGCTGGGCCTGGAAGTTCAAACTGTATGCTTCGCAGGTAGCCACTTTCGGCCAAGTCCGTTCACTGGGCGAATGCCATGTGCTGCTCAGCTCTGATGATGAGTTCTTCCCAGTTCGGGGCATCATGGCTTGCTATCACGCAATGTCCAGGGATTTATGACGGCTGCTGCGCAAATCGTATGGACCAGGACAGCGAAGTGAGGCTTGACCTGCTACCATATGCTTCATCACAGCAAGGTTTTGTAGTCTTTGGAATGGAAACAGGGTCGTTTATGCCGCAGCAATGAAGCAACGAATGGAAAAGAAAGTGGAAAGTGAAATGTATGCTGGGAATATACAGTGGTTTATAGGATGTAGGGCTAGCCAGGGAAAACCCAAGTCACAACCAGGTGTTATACCATGCCCTACTGTACAGTCTCTCATAGTTTCCGTTTTGGAGTAGTCTATTGTTTCGTACTATGACCTAGTTCGAAACCCCTCCAAATTCATCATATAGTCTTATATACATATGTGTATAGTGAGGGTATACATATGTATATATGTTTCAAGTATCCAAAGTATAATGTACCCCACCTGAAAGCTGCTCAGACGCCCAGGTGATCTTCTGCCACGGTAGTAGCTCCTGCCGGGTTGATGCCTTCCAGGTTATGCCCTGGCTTTTCGAGCAGCCTGACTGTCCGATTCCGGATTAGTATATTGACAGTCCTAGTCGTACTAGCAAAAGTAGGAATCGTGGCAACAGCAACGTTGCTGAAACCTTCTAATTATTGCCTTTAATGTTTAATGCTTTGCTGGTTCAGTTCTTGTTCTTCTTTGTGGCTCTTGCATGTTGCTGCCGACATCGTTATGACAAGTTTTCTCATTCTCGTGTGTCTTTTGTTCACCTTCTTCTTGCGACCTCTACATAATCCGCGCTGCGTCTGAGTAGTTGTAGGATTATTGCTAGAATGGCTCTTGCCCTCATTCTTCTTGATCTAGCCATATCTAGCCTCCATTGCTGAGGCGTTGTTCCCACAAACATGTCCTTCACATTGTTACCTGCAGAAAATCGGCAGCTCTTATGTCATGCATGCGCTAGGATTTGCTGCAGTTGGTGTGCTTTTGCCTGTGAGCGAGAGCTGAGAGCTGTCACATTCTGCTGTCATCCACCCTTTGGTGTCATCTTATGCAAGATCTGAGGTACAGACTTACAGTGTTCGCTTTTGACTTCGCTGGTTCTGGGCAATCGGACGGCGACTATGTGACATTGGGCTACAATGTTCCTTTGCTTTGCATTTGATTGGGCCGTCTTGAGTGGGCTTGGCTCTTTTCAGTTAGCGTAGGAATGTGTCCGTTTGCAGCGTGGCCAGCGGGTGATTAAGCTTCTTATCTGGCCAGGGCTGCTTCCAAAGAAAGGACTCCTTTTCATCTACTGGCCTCTGACTGGTGAAGTGAGATGCGCTCCTTGGTGGAAGTCTTTCTGCACAAGGAAGAAGATGACCTACGCGTTGTCATCGACCACCTCATGGTTACTGGATTCGTCTCCAGTATCGGGCTGCACCTGGCCAGAATACAAGATAACTCTCGGGCGGGACAGCAGGGAATAATTACTTGTCTTGTAGAACAACCACTCAAGGTTGTTTGCTTACCCCCCACAGTTCTTGTTGCTACTGTCATTGCAATTGCTTCACCCTTCAGCCATTATGACGAGGTCCCTTCTTGGTCAACCCCCCCTTAACTGGTGCTTAGGGGGAACGGGGGACTAAATGCAGGTGCTAAAGCATTACCCCCCACACTTTTTTGAATAGCTCATGCACATGGGGTCACACAGGTACGGTGAACATGCATTGGATTCATCAGTCATGTCAAAGCCCGAGCGAAGCCACAGGTGGGGCAAGTCCATGGGGGCAGTGGCCTCCCTCCTCCGCACTGCTAGAGATCGCAGGGTGGACGCCTGTGTTTTGGACAGGGCCATTGCGCTGCTGCATCTAGTTGGGCATATGTCAAAATGGTAGCTCTCTGTGTCAGATACGCCCGCATCACCAAGATCCTGAACCTCCAAGCAGAGACCCAACTTTCAGCTAAAACAACTTGAGCACTCCAAAGCGCTGGAACTCCTGCAGTTTCGAGACATCAGCGAGAGTTCGCTGGCTTCTTTGTCAGGACTCGCCTTTTGCTGACTTCCGCAGCGTCGTCCACGACTACTGCGGTGAAGCGCCTCTAGGACCTTGCTGCGGTATAGTTTGCCGACGCCAAGCCTCTAGCCAACGTAGGCTAAGTTAAAGCTCTCATCCAAATCTGAATCTAAGCAAGCCTGTAGCCTGCACTATGTTCACCCACGTCTGCCTGCTACCTATGCAATGAAGAAGACCCTTCAGCCTTCTGTGCAAGTCACCACTTGAAGTACGTCACTTGATGCAGCTATTCTACTCGTTCTATTAGCTTTTGTTCTTTTGAGCAGCCATCTGTCAGCACTGCAGGAACTTGACGTTTCATGTGCGCTCTTTTTTTGGGAGATGGCAGTGGTCATTGTTATGTCGTATTTGAATTTGTTAAGTGAGTACGACTGGGAATCAGTCGCTAGGGCTTCCCTCCTAGGTCTGCACTGCAGTGGATCCCCGGCACTGTGGTGGACTTCGTCCTTGCGCGTGTGAGTGCAGCGGTAGAGGAAAGGGTCGCTTGGAACAATTTGGTCATGGCAGTGGCTTCTCCCGCCCCGGCAGTGCGTCTGCTGCGACTGTAGCAGCATGTAGCCGTAGACAGGGCTGATATCCTTAGCAGGAGTACATGGTGGCAGTAAGTGGGGATCATCAGCAGGAGGAGGATGGACCGGGAGCAGCTGTGGTGATCGGTCCTGGTAGGTGCATCGTTGGATCCGGCTTGGACGTAGGTATCAGGGCCAAATCTTCCAGTTTCTGCTAAGTGCGCCGTTTTGCCAAAGCCGGCAATATGGTATTGTCGTATCTATATCTATGGCTGCTTTCTGATGTGATACAACCATGGCCGGCAGCTTGCTTAGTACTTGCTGCTGTGCCAGTATAGCAGTACAGATGCCTTTGACTACTTTGGGCAAAGTTGTTTGCAATATGATATGGCAATTGACAGCTGCAGCAAGAGGGGCGTACGGCAATACTGCGCATGGCCATGCGCATAGCCATGCGCAGGAGGATCTGACTATCCAGCCTCGCCATGTATTTCATGTTCCTGCCTTGTTGCATTTGGCCTTTTCAACTGACCACCTACCAGACACAGGATCCCCTTGCCATTTTCCAGAACAGTTCTCCTTTCCTAGTAGGCGTCAAGGGCAGGACCCTCCCAGCGTACAAGAAACATTGGCATTTGCAATCATCCCAGCAGCTATCCCACAACAGTCAGGTCGGCGTTGACCCACGCTGCATGCAGCCTATTCTGATGGCCCCCCAGTGTCACTGCTTCTTGGAACGAATTGGCTACGGGGGTCGCATGCCATGCGGTCGGGTTTTGTAGGCTGCAGGTAGTATATTATGGCTGTGGCATCCTTGTCTGCTGTTTGGAGTGCATCTTTGACTGGCCCTCCAGTTTTCGGACTGCTGCGCTATAGGCTGCAGATTCGTTGTCCATGCTCACAGTGTGCCACGAGGCTTTATGCCAAAGTTGTGATTCTGACGTACCCTGCTCAAAATGAGAGCGCTCTTCGCAACAAGACTTCGATAAGGGCCGCGTGTTTTTGCAAAGCTGCGAGCTTGCAGAAGGCTTATTGTTCCTAGTGCGCGTCCTGCTGTGTCAGGCTGCCCTCGTCAAGATACATTCGATGGGGCGTTGAGAAGCTACTGAGATGGTTATATAGGTTATATGGAGATTATATAGGGGGACTATATTGGGAGTTATAGCTAGGGACACTGGAAAAGAGAATGGAAACCATACTGCTTTAAAATAACAGGGTTGGTCTCAGAATGACGAGAGGTCCGGCCTTCTTCATCGCAGGGGATGTCGACCGCGTCGTGCGGCCTCAACAGGTCCAGTCCCTTCACCAGGCAGAGGGTCTATGTTTAGGGCTTCAGGACTGTAGGACCTTGAGAGCTTCGGCGTGTAATCCCTTCCCCCGTTGAAATAAGAACATGCCCCTCTCCAGGGGAGATCTTTACTTTTTCAATCAGTCGCAGCTGCCTTTTTTGTATCCATTGGGGTTTTGATTAAGCCCATCATTTTCATCAGTTCGTTGCGGAAAGGAAGGAGAGTCTGATGAATTTCGAAAAGGTTTCTACAAGTTCTGCCTTGCACAACTCATACACGCAATAAGAACCTAGGAAAGAAAAGAGGCCCCTAATTCCAACAGTACTTCTGGTGCATTCTCTTTCTATCCACTTCCTTTTCTATTCCTGACCAGCAGCAAAAAATCTAGGGAAGGATTGAGATGCTGTACCTAATCCCTGACATTCCACTATTCCGTGTAATGCCGCACCAGTTCGCTTAGAACCTTCCGGGGGCGTTCATCATTTATAGCATCCAAGCTGGCCTCCTGTAAGAACGAAGTGTCTTGGCAAGTTGAAAAGTATTCATCCAGCCTTGTGGGCTAAAGTGTATCGCATGAAGAACGAGATGGTTTGTAGTGAGCGTTTCGGATGAAGCACCTTCGTCTTTCATACCTTCAGTTATTTGAGCCTTGCATAAGCTTCCGCTTAATAAGAAAATTAAAAGCTGAAAGGATACAGCAGAACCTAGAAATCTACAAGCGGCCCTTGCTTCCCTGGCCTCTTCTTACAACTTGACGCAGCACCTACAGGATGCGCCACAAGAGCTCGCAATCTGATGATCAGGATGCCTGAGCCGTGCCTTAGATATGAACCTCCAACCTTTCAGGCTTGGGGCGGTGAGAGTCAGCTTGTCATCTTCCCGGGCGGCCACAACACTGACCGGCACCTGAGATTGACTTGATTTGTTCCCCACTGAAATTTTCCGCCATGTCCAATGATCCCAGCGAGAGTAGCCAACGCACTCTGACAAAGGCCGACGCACGTGGTTGAACAAGCAGCACGCTTCATGTGGGACCCTTTGCAGCATGAGATTGAAGGGGCTTCAATTATATTGAACACTTGGAACATGGCCCTCAAGAAAGTTACATCCATAACCAGCTAAGGGATGCTGGGGGGTTGTTAGAGTAAGTTGATGATTCTTTAGGCTTCGTGTTCAAACCAGCGCCAGCTGTGGGGCTAGAGGGGTTTGTCAATCAGTGGCTGTCATAGCATGCTCCCTAGGTGATGCGTGCAAGGCAGTCGCAGGCTTTGGATAACCTCCATCTGCAGCCGCTATGAGGTCACTGAAGTTGAGCTTTCAACAATGCTCAGACGATCGCACACGGACCCCTCAAAGGGGCCCCCCAAATATTGGAAAACTCCCGAAGTACATAAGTTTCGTTACATTCCTCCAAAGTGTCTAGGCCCATCTTGCATCAACTCAAGGAGTCGTTGCAGCGTGCGGCTGAAGCCGACGCCCTCCTCTGTGGGGCGGTGGATGCCTTTCTTGCCAGGGGCTTGGATGCGGGTGGGGTTGAGGGTTCCAAACCTTAGGTTTGTGTTTTGGGGTTCAGGGTGTTTCACTAGAAGCTCACTGGCTGCATTCCCTAGCTAGTTGCCTTGCCCTAATCTTCATGAAGTTATACACCGCAACAATACTGGTAAACTCGTTTGCGGATTTCATGGGTGTACTAGGCGCGATACCATCCAGAAAGTCTTTGGTCCCGGGGCCCGGCTTTTGCTACAGTTGCAAAGGCGAGCCCTAAGCCTCATGGCCCCTGGAGTCCCCGCACCTATCACAAAGCTTGTGAAGGATTGAATCAAGCACTGAGGATAAGCCCCGACTCAGCGAGCTGACAGCTCTGGGGCTCAAAGACAAGGCATCCCGGAATGCGGAAGATTACAGTGAGCTTTCAGAATCTACAAGATCGCAACTAACTGGTGTTCCGTTTGCGCAAGAGGATGCAATCTATCATCAACATGATGATCAGGAGACTGCAGCATGTTTCGTGAAACTGTAGGGTGGAAAGTGTTAGGCCTTCAACCGTCCTGCCACTGTTCCTCAGCGGTCCATGTTTAATTCAGACTGCAGGTCCCACCTTTGAAGCTGCAGCATTCCCCAAAATTTGGGTTGGACCAGAATCTACATCTGAAAGTGCATGATTTGTAGAACAAGTCAGGAGGGGGATATACCAGCAGATATGTTTCAGAATGGTTCCTGTGGGCCAGGAAGACTTGGGAACTAAAGATGCAGACTTGAAGATGACTTGTGTTTGTGTCGCTTGGTTGGTTTCCGGAATGTCTTCAGTTCGTGACCAGGAAGAAGACATGCTTGCTGCAGCTGTCGACCAGTACCTGGAACAGCGCTTCTTGGAAGCTTTTTGCAGCCTCCTTTGCTTGTCTGCAAGACGATGGCGATCAAAGATTCACTTCAGAATGCATCTGTTTGAGATTCCCGGAGAACTCAGAACTCTGAATGACGTAAGGTCATCCTAATGCTCCATAATTAGGGTTGACCTGTGGAGAGCGCACACTCGTGTTTAGTGCATAAAGCTTCTTAGCTGAGGTATAGTCTAAACTCCTTGAACGGGGATAACAGGGGATTATATAGGGGACTACTACACGGCATATTAAGGGGGATACCAGGAGTTCAGACCGTCTCTCAGCTGGTTGGCTTTGGCAATCTGGGTTTAAAAGCAGGCTTGAGAGACGAAGTCGGGCCCCTATCAGCTCAGGGCGTTGCCTGGACCAGGCAATTGACCACTACCTCCTTCGAGGCATTGCAAGCTTCCTTCCATCCTCTTATCCTGATGCAATATGTGAGCAGCCTTGTTCCTCGTAATGCTCGCAGTCATTGCGGCGCTGTGCGTGAATCCTTTATCTTCTCCCCATGCGATCAACTATAGCTATTGCTGCGTACCTTGCGCCAATTTAGATTGTTTACTTTGTGATGACAATGCTGGCAATCCCTACGGTTCCTGTTACAACTGCATCCCAGTAGATCTGTCACTGCTCTCTCCAGCGGTAAATCCAATCTCTCGTGACCAAGATGGTGCGCAGGAGGCTCGCCACCTAGTACAACCCCTGTGTGGCGGCACCTGACGCAGAGCCACATCGTGCAGGACCCTGTCTGCTAGCAAAATTGGTCAAGTGTCATTGCAAGAGTCTCCGACAGCAAGATCGATCTAACCAAACATGACATTACATCTTTCCAACACAGGTGCAGGCAGTTCTGGCCTATATTTGACTCTGTCTCAGTGGGCATGGTGCAAATGAGGATCCGGGAATCCAGGATGGCGAAATGACGAAAGTTTATTTCCTTTCTCAGCTGCGGTTGTTCCTAAGCATGTGAGAATCAACGAGACGCTGAGACGCTGATGTTTGGATAGCTCCACTTTGCCTACAAAAGGCTTCAAGCAAAGGCGATCACCCTGCACGTGCTTCAGTGACTATATATTTGTTTAGTCTTCTTTACTAATCCTACTTGGAGGTCCATGGGACTTGGTAACTACTTATAACTGGGATTATAACCCTACTTATAAGTGGGGTAGCCCGGTAACCCCTATCAGCCGATTTAGGGGGATTATAAGGCCTCCAAGTAATTGCAATCAGCAAGGCTACAAAGCATAGCTCGGATCTTGACCGCTGCAGGCCATGCCAGTGCCCTCCACGGCGCACCGCCCGGTCTGCCTTGGGACTTGCTGGGAGGGTTGTTAGAAGAAGGAAACTACGGGAAACTGGCTTTTGCGTACGCCAGCCGAATCTGACTGACAGTTTTTTTCTCATGCCAAGAAATTGTTTTCAGAATTATGCTCTGGACGACCTCCACAGGCTTTCATTTTTTTCCAGTCCAGATGCTGCCGTGCAGAATCTTGCGTTTGCAAAGGTCTGAGATTGGCTTTCACATTGTTGTCACACTTTGCAAGTTGAGGTGTGGCGGTTTTCTTTGACAATCACGGCCTGTGTGAAGGCTGGCTTGTCCGGAGAGAACACCAGTGAGCTTTTCTCAGTGTGAGAAGTGCGGGGGATACGACAGCCGCATGTCGTCTGAAATGGTGGCATCGATTTAGGAGGCGCTTCCGACAGAAAGCCAAAATGGCTGGGGTCTTGGAAATTTTTTTGCATCCCAAACAATTCCCGAAATTCAGCACGATAGCCATGCCGGACTCGAAACCGAGCTCGAAGTGGACTGTAGGCGCAGCCTTGAAACTTGAGGGCTGCCTCATTGCATGCTTTTCAAGGGCTTGCGAACAACGCATAAGACGCTAAGATGATACCCACAGAGCCAGTCCTTTGGAGATTCAGGACAAGCCTTTTGAATCGCATTGCGTGCTGAGAATTCGCGCCCTCAGCGGTCGACACTCAAAGGGTAGCAAGTTCTTTAAGGCCCCAACATGATCTACGTCCGGGTCCTTCATCAGAATTGGTTCAAAGATTGTCCATGGTCAGAGGGATGATGTTTGGACAGGCAAGGGCAGATTAATGGTTGCTCGGCCTTCTTCAAGATCAGTCTAGCTTCGATTAGTTTGGTTGGGTTCGAGAAGCAAGTTACCTAGCTCCGCAATGTATCTGCGCACTGTAGCTGGTATCATCACAGAAATGGATCACATTCAGTTAGTTTTCATACCCAGTAATTGTGGTACTTATGTTCACTTCATCATTATTGCATGTGTCGTTCTTATCATTGTCTTTGCTCTCAGGGCCAGTGCTTCCCACTTGGGAGCAGCTACCCTTGAACTTTTTTCTCGCCTGAGCAAGCTCATACTGCGTTAATGCATGGCGAAGTCACAGCGGGACAGGCCTTAAATCACCAAAAACTGGGTTACTGTTAAGCAGCTTAAATTAAGTTACCATATAATGGGTACATGGTATATGTAGGAATTAAAATGGTGCCCCCAATATGGTGAGATAAGTTCCGGAACAGCAGCCCAGATGACTCCCCCATAGATCTGGAAGAGCCAGCATGACCGCATCACACACTTAGAAATCAACAATGAGGGGATAGCTTTTATCGCAGACTTTAGAGACTGGAAGCGTTATTCACTGCCAGAATGGAAGTCATGCACATGGGCCTGGGCCGCATGGAGGTGATCGATGACGATGCCTGTGGGCAGAAAATAAGCTCTCTTCAGCGTGCTGATTTTGAACGCATGATTGGACACCGTGCCTCGGGTGGACCGCTTGATCATATTTACAGGTTGCACCGTGGACCTTGATAGCCCAGTCTGGCCACTTCATGCAATTCTTCTTCCTCTACCTTAGCCCCACGCGCCAGACGGGTGATTTGCCAGAAGAGAGGACACCTCGACTACATCTCGACTCTGTTGCCATGCAGGTGGCGCAGACGTGGGCGGGCTGCAGTTACCCTTCCCTGCAGAGGCTGGCTGTCTTCGAAGTCTGTCCAGTACTCCTTGCCTGCCTGGCAAGGGGGCAAAAGACAAGAAGCGAAAGAAAGACAAGAAGGAGAAGAAGTGTGCACCCGAGATGGATTGTGAAACCAGAGGGTGGCTGGAATTCCTGCGGTTGCCCCCCGGTGCTCTCCATAGTTTCCTGTCTGGTCAGGGAAGTAACCCGGAGAGAATGAATGAAATTCACGCTCCAAGGACTGGTCGGAAGACTGAGTCAGCTGATCCGTGGACTGCTCAAGAGAGCTTCTGGACAGCAAAGTAGAGAGCCGCATTTGGTAGAAGCACCGTGCAGAGACCATAGCATTGCAAATGCTACCGGGAGTTTAGAGGGCAGCTGTTCAGCTGATGACTTCAGGCTTCTCACATCTTCTTATTGAGGCTTTCTGTGCCGCGCATACAACCACTGCCTCACCACTACCACCACCGCCGCTGCGCCACCGTAGCTACTTCAATTGTTAAACGAACCGCGGCCCTGCCCCAGGTGCCCCTGTTCCTGCAGAGGAACCTGCAGAGGGGGAGAAGATCGAAGCATTGAAGGCCTCGGCTGGCTGGCAAAAGACCCGAGCAGCGTACAAATGCATGGCAGTGTTTGCGGGGAAAAACGAAGCGGACAAAACATGAGCTTATACTGATCTGAGGCTCTAAACATCATTTCAAGCGTGACGGGTTTGTCTTTGATCCATTGGTGGTTTGAGAGACGATCCTGCCGAGAAATGCAGGAGGAATTTGGGGCGCGCGTCTGAAAACTGTTTTTGTCTCCAAATCCAACCAGTAACTGCCAAGTAGCCCTGAAGGATTGTTCATGAGTCTAGAACATGCCCAAAGGTGTCATCCTGTTCCTAGTGTGGGCAGTCTGCCGCAGGCCATGGGCTTCCAGGAAGCGCGCATCCGCCTCTTGCCTCAATAGCGGGGGAGAAGCAGGGGTGCCTTTTGTGGAATCTGTCTACAATCAGTTCTCACATTGACTGAAGGCACGGAGTGCTTTGTGATTTGGCGTTGTAGCTAGGTCTACAACTCCCGCGTATCTCTGTCTGAGCTTGGTTGCGAGGCCATTTGTGTGCTATGGCTAGCCAACACCTACAGCTGGGCGTAGTCGTGCTGGCTTGGCTTCGTCTGGCAGGCTGACAGGTTAAGGCTCCGCACGTA